AAGATGTTAACTAATTGTCATCTTAGCAACACTCCCCAATATAATCATAGAGGAAGAAATAGCTATTACTATGACCAATGTCAAGATGTTAACTAATTGTCATCTTAGTAACACTCCCCAACTTTGATATAGAGATAGTATTTTGAAAGAAAGAATTAATATTCAAGGAAGAAGATTAAAGAAAATAACTCACAACTTACAAATTCATTAAGCTTCAAAGTAGCAAAACCAAGATGGAAGAGTTTAGCTCCTCATTTGGAGACTAAACATGATGAAAAATATAAAGAAAGAGCTATTCTATACTGAGCTTAGATGTACAAGGGATTGGATCCTTTTTGTGAAGGAAAGGAGGTGTATTTATAGGTTTTTGGGATGAGATTCGGATACTCGATCGGGTATATACATGGTACCCGATCGAGTATGTGTGTAACATCTGATCCGAGGCATACTCGACCGGTTTCAGGCTATTTTCTAAGTGTATACCCGATCGAGTATATATGAATACCCGGTCGAGTATGCTTAGAAAGTGATATTCGGGCTATACTCGACCGATCTTCGTTTGCAATTTAAAGGCATACCCGATCGGGTATGTCGGTCTACCCGATCGGGTATAGACATAGAATCATGGCCAAAATCTTCCCTGCATGTTCCTTTGTCTTCGGATCTGATCCGATTTGAAGTTCCAACCTAATACCCGATCGAGTATAGCTAATACTCGACCGAGTATAGACCAAAATTCAGGATCTTCTTTTGTCTTTGAACTTTTGCACCTTCTCTTCACTTTTTGGGTTCACCAACTGTACTTTGGGTGACCAAAACCTGCTTAAGCTCAGAATATGTCTAATCTAACCTATTTACAAGAATTTAACAATCTAATCTATTACACCAAAAGTGTGTAATTTCCAAAGTAAAAGTCAAGCAAAACTAATTAAAAACATAAACATAGAAATGGAAATTACGAACGTATCACCCCTCAAAACCAACCACCACAACACATCCCCAATCCTCCTTACAACCATCCTCCAACCGACTATTTCCAACAACTCTTGGAGGGCCAACAAGCACTACTTGCCGGGTTCAACACAATGAACCTCAACTACACAAACATGGGTGAACAACTTGCACAAGTCCGAGAGGAGCAACGGGCGGGCTTCCAAAGAATGGAAGAGCTACGGCAAGCCAACCTCCACCGCTATGAAGAGGACTATCGTAGGACTTATGGTCCTATGTACTCATATATGGCCCATCACGGGAATTTCTCTTCTATGGCCACTCCTCCACCACCGTCTTGGTATGACCCCTCTCAATGGGGTAACTTTGGAGGTTCGAGCTACGGTGGTGGGGGCTATGATGACGGGATGAGAGACGACACTACCATGGGTGAAGGGGGCAATGAGGGCGGCACCGGTGGAGGCTTTGGAGGAAGTTTTTATGGTGGTGAAGGCGGGCACTAAGGATAGTGCCTTGATCCAAGTGTGGGGGAGAAGACTCATTTTTTGGTATGTTAAAATCCCTTTTGTTTTACCTCATACTAAGCATTATTTTCTTGTACTCTTTGTACACACACACACCCAAAAAAAAGGAAATAAATGCTAGTTAGGTTGAAAACCCAAAAACGGGCAATCTAAGCAACAAGGGCTTAAAAAAATTGAGTGAGTCGGAAAGGAAGGAAAAACAAAAAGAGATGCTAGGATGAAAACCTGAAAATGCTCCTAGGCAAAACGAGAGATATGAGAGAAATTTATTTTTGCAGGACATCATCTATTGAAGAAAAGAAGTAGAAGAAAAGGAGAAGAGGAAAAGAAGAAGTAAGGAGCATAGAAGACCTTTAAACCCAAGGAAATGTTGTTCTGTAAACTCATTTACAATACTTGGTGGTCTTAGTTTCCTATTTCTTACTATCTTCTTTTGATGAACATTGTATAAACATTTGGTTTTACTCGAGGTCGAGTAAAGAAACTAAGTGTGGGGGAGTTGACATTCATGTAAATTACATATTTATTTCTGTGTTTTTAATTAGTTTTGATTGATTATTACTTTGGAAATTACACACTTTTGGTGTAATAGTTTAAGTTGTAAAAATGTTTGTAATTTGTTTAGATTAGGTTTATACTGAGCTCAAACAGGTCCAAGATCACTCTAGGGACCATTGGTGAACATCACAAATGGAAGGAAGGTGCAAAAAATCTCAAGATTCTGATTTTTGGTGTTGTACCCGGTCGGGTATGACCTATACCCGATCGGGTACCTTGTTGAAAAATCAAATCGGATCGGATCCGGGACAAGGCAACGTGCAGGGGAGATTTTTGCACGATCGGCCGACATACCCGATCGGGTATAACCTAGTTTTTTTATATTTCCGCGAAGCAACCAAGTACCCGATCGAGTGCCCTTACAGCCCGATCGGGTACACGACCCTGCAAGCCTAAAAAGCCTATAAATACCCCCCTTTCCTTCCCACAAAAAGAACCAATTCCTTTGTACATCTAAGCTCAGTATAGAATAGTTCTTTCTTTATATTTTTCATCATGTTTAGTCTCCAAATGAGGAGCTAAACTCTTCCATCTTGGTTTTGCTACTTTGAAGCTTAATGAATTTGTAAGTTGTGAGTTATTCTCTTTAATTTTCTTCCTTGAATATTAATTCTTCCTTTAAATACTATTTCTATATCAATGTTGGGGAGTGCTACTAAGATGACAATTAGTTAACATCTTGACATTAGTTATAGTAATAGTTATTTCTTCCTCTATGTTAATATTGGGGAGTGTTACTAAGATGACAATTAGTTAACATCTTGATATTAACTATAGTAGGATTCATACTCTTTAATATTCTTCCTTGAGTATTAATTAATTCCTATTCGTATTTCATATTAATATTTTGAACATTACTTAAAGGATCAACTAGTTTTGTTTCATATATTAATTACTCCCTCCGTTTCTGAAACAAGTTCCACATTTGACTTCACACATATTAAGAAAATAAATTTGACTTTACTGTGGAGTGCACTGTTTGGCACTGTTTGAACACTGTTTGACACTGTTTGAACACTGTTTGACACTGTTTGACATTGTTTTGATGTAGATAATTTGTCAAATAAAGAAATGTTTAAAAGTGGAACTTAATTTTGAATCTGCCCGAAAAGGAAAGATGGAACTTGTTTCAGAAACGGAGGGAGTATTACTAGAATCAATCAATTAATACGCTTGTTATTAATTCGGTTCCTTCAACGGTAGTAAACTTGGATTGTTAATGCATGCGTCTCATGATTAATAATCTAAGGGGAATTAATTATATTGATTAAACCAATAAACCGCTTGTGTTGAGGTTATCAATCTCAATTGTTTTCATCTCAAGTTTATTGCTACTATCGTGTTAATATACGGCGCGTGTTCAATATTGACTCGGTAGTAAGTTTTATTAATGAACGCGTCTCGTTATTAATAACTACCCTCGATGAACTAGATATACTCCTCGATTGAGTATTCGAGAGGAAGATAGTTAAAGATATAACTGGGATCGACAAACATTTCATTAAGTGGATAAAAGCAAAACCAAGTCCTCATCTCATTAAATTAAACTCATATAGGTTGTTCATTTTAGTATATTTAAATCAAACAAATCTAAACCCCCCTTGTTACTATTGATATAAGAGAAAAGTATTCCTTTCCATGTGGATACGAACCTTACTTCACTATACTACGTATTAGTGTTGTATCGATAAATTATTTTGAGTGCACCTCACGACAAGTGCACGTCACTGGAGTTTTGGAAGGAAGAGAAGAGCTGGGGGAGTAAAAATGGGGAAGGGAGTGAGGTAAAAATGGGATAGAGTTTTTATATGGGGTATAAATGTGGTAGTAATATATTGGGGTACTATAGCATATTTGGAAGAAAAAAATAAGTAGAGTTAGAGATTTGAATATGTAGAAATGAGTGAAATGGTAACATCATGAGTTTATCATGAGTTTTGCGTCACTGCATGCCTGTAGAGAGTAATATCTATGCATGAATTGCGTTTATATATATAGGACTATAGGAGTACATCATAATTATGGTGCTTCACTGCATGCCTAATATATTGGAAAAAGTGAGATTTTATTTACACCTATATATATGGATCATATCATATCATGTAATAGTAAAAAGTAATAATATAATAGGTCAAAATGAAAATACATTATAGTATTACGATATTGTTATTTATGATTAGAGTGGTAAGCATAACGTTTATGTGGATGAATGGAACTGCTGAAGCAGAAGATGAGCAGGCTTCCAATTCCATGGCCGCCGCCGCCGCACCATCTAATCGGACACAGCTGCAGCCTTCTCCATCATCATCGTCGTCAAATGATAAGACGAGTGCCGGAGCAGTAACATCTCGCCTAATTCTACTCCCTATATTTGCACTTTTGGCGATCATTGTAGCGTTTCTGTTTTATTGCTACAAAAAGAAGTGCACGCGGCGAAGGACGACTACTTAGCAGGAGTTATACGTGTTAGGCATTCATTTTATTTCTGCTTCTTCTTTCTTAATATCAGAATTAGTTTCCCACAAACTAATGATTTTCTCTAACTTCTAAAAACGGCTTCACATGAGGGTCTGCGAGAAGTGGTACCGCACAAGGCTTCTCGATTCAGAAGACCCAAAATTTTAAAGAAAAGTTTGGGTATATATATACAAGTTTAACCACCTGCCATTAAGTTAATTAATGTTATGTATTATCAAAAATAAAACGAATAGCGCGCATTTTCTTGACTTACTTTCAATATTGTTTATCATTTTCATTCCATGAACATTGTAAGACTACTATATCAAGTTAAAATATTGATTTTATTTCATTATCACTGCATCCGTATCTTTTATTCAAGGGTTTATGTACAAAGCTTAGCTAATTAGGTAAAGTAAATCATGTTTGTTATTATTGCTCAATCAAGTCTTACAAGCCTCAATTTATACATGTACCGATCACTATCAAAAGGAAACGATCCTTATTAATGCTAGGAATATTTTACCCAAAATTAATAGATGTAATTATGGTAAGAATAATATTATGGCTATAGACATATTAAAAAGAAAAAGAATATTCCAGAATACCCTCTCAAATTGAAGCATGCGGATTTAAAATGCTCAACTTGCGAAGAAGAAAATGAAACTTTGTGTTGCCCAATGCCTGATAAATATGTCACCAATTGAATAGTAGTAGGAACATAATTCGGAGAAATAAGACCATCTTGTATCGCATCACGAACAAAGTGACAGTCAACTTCAATGTGTTTGGTACGTTCGTGAAAGACGGGATTACGAACAATGTGTAAGGTGGATTGACTGTCACAATAAAGAGGAACCGCTTGAGGATGATGAATCCCCATACTCAAAAGTAAAGCTTTCAACCACTTGACTCACATGTAGCCCCAGCCGTAGCTCTATATTCCGCCTCTGCTGAAGAACGTGATACAGTAGGTTGCTTCTTGGTCTTCCACGAAATAGGAAAGTGTCCAAGAAAGACTAACCAACCTGAAATGGACCGTCGTACGTCGCTCCCCACTCGTCGCTAGCTGGGCATTGACTGTTGCGTCATCGCCACCCCTGCTGTTCGTTGCTTTCTGCTGACTTTGCGACGCCCCAAACTCCAAAGTATTGCTTCCCATCAATTGTTGCGTCGGCGCAGCTGTGAATCCATCTGCCGCAGTGGTGCCACCACTTTAGATTCTGCCGCCGATGGTTTAATCTATCTTGGTTAGTATATTTGTTTATGGAATTTTATCAATTCAGGATCCAAAAGATAGATGATTTATCAATTCGGGACCTGAAAGATGATATCTATCGGTATAGGATCCGAATGATGAAAAACTATCAATCTAGGACCTAAAATTTCATAGGTTTTGATTTATTTAATTTTTTATTAATTCCATTGCTAATTTTTGATAAACTTTTCTTCACAAAAGTTTATTATTTTCATAAAACTAAATAATATTTAAAATTTTAAGATAAAAAGATTAATAAAATTTTGGACAACTTAGGTCCTAAATTGATAATTTCCAATCATTCAAGTCCTAAATTGATAGTTTTCCATCTTTCAGGCCCTATATCGATACATTTCATCTTTCAAGTCCCGGATTGATAATTCATCTATCTTTCGGATCCTGAATTGATAAAATTCCTTGTTTATTTATTTTTAGCATATACAGTATTTGGTTGGTTCACTTGTTATGTGATAAATATTTGAAATTTCTTATGTATAATTAAAGTGAATTTAATAATGTTGATTGTTTGGGATGAAATTTAAAAAGTAATTTGTAAAATTGATCATTATTTCACTTGTAAATTTTTGGAAGATTAATTCTATCTTGCCTGTGAGTTTGGAATTAATTTAGCTCACATCTCACACACCCTAAAATAAGCCTAGAAAGAGGAGATGTTAGAGGAATTAAAATTAAGTTCTTGTCTATGATAATTGATACGGAGTATATCACTATACTTAAATTAGAGAAAATTTCGCATATTCATTTATAATCAAAGACACCCAAGAACCATGATTCCAAATCTAAATCCCCTTTTAATTAGTTAAATTATCGTTACTAATTACATTTTGTTTACCTTTTAGTATAGTATTTTATTTTCAAAAACGTACTCATTCATAGTTTATTTTTCCTGTCAATGTATTTCTCACGTTCACTAGCTTTATTCTCTGTCCTCATTAATGCTTTATTTTCATTAAATTCACTCTTTGTACTTTTATTGTTCATTTTAATTCGTATAATTGTTATCATAATTAATCGTTTGAGAAAGCTTGCAACGACTCGTACTAATTGGTGACCGATATTGAATTCAACAGTTCCTTTGTCACTCCTCAGAGCCACGATATTCGAGGATAAATTTTTCTATCCAAAAAGGTTTAACTCCGTTTTACTATAACGACGCATGTGCGGCTGTCTGTTAGTTGCTCCAAGTGATAATATTTATAATTTTCACTACTCTAAAAATATATACGAATTGAACTTCATATATTTAATTTGTACTACGTATTTGGTAGCTCTTTTCTCTAGAATCATATATAGACTCAAGTGCACGTCAATAATATTCGGGATACTTGAAATTCTGGACTATATATTTTATTAATAATTATGTGTAGTGTGATTACTTAACTAAACTTAGAAGTTAGAAGATTACGTTGTAATGCAAATATGCTAAATGGTTTACATTTTAAGCCCATCTATTTGTTGAGTATTGTGTTTCAGTTTTCTGCTCTTTAGACTTTTATGTTTGTTTTGTGTTTCAACGTAACTTTTATATTTTAGACACGGAAACCAGAAATATTTTACTAAGCAGTAAGCTCATCTAATATTTTTATATTATACTAAGTAAATACTACATCCGTCCCTCTATTATTGTCCCATTGTGCTTTACGATGCTCAGTGCCGATCTTACCTACACTCGAGTCTGAGTCGAACTTCATAAAAAGGCCCCAATAAATTACAATTTTATGCAGTATAACTTTTTTAAGTTAAAGATGTAACATCACAAAATAGCTAATTAAATAAAATTCTTACATTATACGGAGTATAATATAAAAATACCAAATGTATTAAAAGTAACTAATTAAGTACAACCCATTAGACAGTTTTAGCAGCAAAGGTATTAATCAAGTCGGCATAACCGAGGTGTTCAATAAATTCCTTCTCAATTAATAACATAGCTAATCTATTCAACCTTTCTTGAGACATGGTTGATCGCAAAAATGTCTTTATCAACTTAAGTTTTGAGAACTTTCCTTCTGCACTGGCTACTGTAACAGGTATTGTCAACAAGATTATATATGTGATGTATGTTTTTGTATCCTTTTCCTAACCTCATTTGCCAACAATTGTATCAATTCATGTTGAATCCTTCCTCTAAGATATGTAACATAAGTCTCACGATCCTTAATAAGACGCTAAGTGCTCTATCGGGTCAAACTCAAGATAAATAAAACACAATTTATTGAAATCATAGATATGATAGTATTAGTTTTTTTTTGCGACATATCCTAATATTAGTTAAACAAATGTGCTAAATAATGCATTCTTGTCACTAAATTAGAGGACATAACCTACTTAAAATGTAAATTTTAAATATTAACAAAAAATGGAATTGTTTAATTATGCGTCTTAGCTCATTTGAATAGTCAAAATTAAGTTCAAACTTAATTTTCTAAAGAAAAAATTCCACTTTTCATCCCGTGACTATTATACCACTTCCACATTTAGTCCATTACTTTCAGATTGTCCACATTTAGTCCGTGCCCATTATCCCCTCACCACCCCTCGTCCTTTTGGCCAAAATTCCAGCAAATTTAATGCAGATTTTAGGTAGGAAAAACTAAATTTAATGCAAAGACAGATATGAAAACTCAACGTTATATAAAATTTATTGCAAAGACTGATTCTGAGGCTGATAAGTTGATTAAATTTGCTGGAATTTTGGCCGGAAGGACGAGGGGTGGTGATGGGATAATGGTGACGGACTAAATGTGGACAATCTGAAAGTAAGAGACTAAATGTGGAAGTGGTATAATAGTAATGAGACCAAAAGTGGAATTTTTTCTTTTCTAAATGTATGAGTCCAGCAATATGATCTTAAATCAACCCTCGAACAATTTATATTTACTTCGATTAAGACAAAACAAGAGTTTTTCATTGTGTCCAAAACAAATTCAAAATGGGCCCATAAACTCTCTTACTTTACAATCTCAATTCTCAAAAGTGAGAACTTGCAAACTCAAAAGCTATTCACAAAAAACTGAAAACTAAAAAGCATGTCTTTTATCGGCACACCACCCATCGGCTCTAGTAATCTAGTTCGGTTGTTCCTCTTCTAACTTCATTGGTTAATTTGTCGGCTATTTCAATTTTCTAACGCAGCAGCGAGAATTTAACAAAGGCATGTCTTTTATATTTAAAAAAATACATATAATACATATAAAAGGAAAATAGCTAAAATATTGGGCCCCTAAATTTTTGATATTTTTGGGGCCCTGAGGCCCATGCCTCAGTGGCCTCACAGTAAGCACGGCCCTGACGATGCTTGACCGACCATAAAAGAAACAAATTACTGTCCGCACTCAAATTATTTTTAGAAAAAAATTACATATTCAGAAACTACATTCAAAGCTTTACAAAGTCGTGAAAACCAGAATCAAATTTGATAAAAATTTGATATATAAAGTAAGAGATTAAGAGTGATTTGTGCTGATCAAGTGAATATGATATTAGACAATAATAGGAAGTTGAAGGGAGTAATTTTATATAAAAATATATAATTTGTCAAAGTTCAATATGATTGGATAAAAAAGTCAAAGTTCAATAAAGTTTGTGACAAAGGAAGTACCGAGTATAAAGTTACCCCCCAAAAGTCATAGATCTAGTAGCAAGTTTTCAAAAAAATGGTGGTGTAGGGTAAATTTTTTCACAACTACTTCGTAAAAGATCCCGTGTCATTAGGGATGGACCCGGGCCGGTCCGGTTCCGGTTCCGGGCCGGGTCCGGGCGGGCTTTTTTTGCAAATCCATGGGCCCGGAACCGACCCGGGTTGATACCGGGTCCGGGCCTAACCGGGCCGGGCCCGCTTCAATGTCTATTTTTTTTTTTGCTTTCTTGTTATCCCCCGACCCCCCCCCCCCCTCACCCTCACCCCCCAAACCTCCCCAAAACACCCAGCCCTAGCCTAGGAAAAGAAAAAAAATTGAAAAACAAAAGACCCGGGCCTGGCCTGAACCGCCCAGGCCGGTTCGCCCAAAACTGGGCCCGAGCCCGCCCAAACAGGCTAAAAGCCCGGAACCGGCCAACCGGTCCCGGTCCGGTCCGGGCCCGCACAGTAGCGGGCCGGTTCGGTTCCGAGCCAGTTCGGCCCGACCCAGTCCATCCCTACGTGTCATATAAAGTAATGCATCATTATGAAAATCGCAGAGTCTAGAGAGCTATACGAGAGAGAGAGGAGCTATGATGGGAAATCCTAGCCTCCTCCCTTTCATTTCATCTTTTCTTTCTCTTTTTTCAATCTCGTTTAGCTTCAATCATGAAAGATTTCATCTTATTAGTATTTTTAATCCTATAGATTCGTTTAATTATTTCCTAGCGTTGTGTAGAGATGTTATTATCGGTGACGAAGTATCGCTTGTCAGATGTATCTTCCCCGCCATTTTTAATAGTCGAATGTTCTTGTGTGCTAGTAAGAGGTTTGTACTAGCTTCTTCATCAATCATAAATCTTGATTTCTTCTGCATGCGTAGAGGTTGATTGCTCCCCTCCTAAACCACCGCAGATCCAGGAAGATGGAATTGCATTGATTGCTTTCTTTTCGATGGGCAATGAAATCAGAACAATTTTTACACTTGACTCCTTATCGGTGATTATTGGAAAGACCATCAAGTTTAATAATTCATTTCCCTTGGTTGGTCAAACTGAACCCATTTCAAGTAGAATGAACAGTCACACTGCAGTACGAGTCTACATGGATGCAGGGAAGCGAACCCTACTAGAGAATGGAGCTCTCACGTCCGTATTTTCACGTTTTCACATCGGCTTTGAGGGTGACGTACTAACGTGTAACTGAGAGATGTTATATATATCACCTTTTTACGTTGGTTCTATAACTGACGTAAAATGCATTTAATTTAAAAAAAAAACATATTACATCGGTTATTTAAAAAGACGACGTGAAACGTACTTCTATGATATAGTTATAACGACGGTTAGTTCTGAAAACCGACGTAAAAGATGCTTAGTTTTTTCAAAAAAATATATACATACAACGTCGGTTAATGAGACTACCGACGGCATATGTATACTAAAATATACTACATACTTCACATGTAACAGCACACATTTATACATAAACATTCCACTAAAATACATAAACTTCATTGTAAATTAAACTAGACAAAGTACGCGTGCGATGCACGGGTCTATCTAGAGTAGAATAGTACGGAGTATATTTTTATTTAAATAGTACTCACTCCTCTAAAATTAAATTAGAGGTTTGATTTCAGGGGTTTTAAGGTAGAATAGAAAATGAAGTTGGTTTTCCAAAAACAATATTACGTTATTAAAAATGTAATAGCAGAAACCACAAATTAATTGATTAAAGGAAAGTGACAGTCTTATAGACAATTACAAAAAGAAAGATGCAAAAATTATAAGGAGCGGATGAAGTATTATGCAAAGATAAAAATTTCTCCTTGTGCCTCACCAAATATATCCAAATTTGATTTACTCGTGGAAAAAATGAAAATTGTGTAGTTGAAAATTGAGCAGAAAAGAGAGAAAGAACTTTACCACATATTTATACAGGCGGATCTATAGGGGAGCCAACCTAAGCCCTGACTTGTCCCTAATTAAAAATGCCTAAATATTCAGTGTAAAATATTTCGTGTACTTGTTTTCAAATGTATTATTTGTACTCGCTCAGTTCGGCCCAGTCGTCTAGGCTACGTCCCTGTATATATATTTGTGTGTGTGTAACATGCTTCTTATTAATTTAATAAAAATGACTTAATTTTTAGTGTAAAAAACTTTGTGTATTTTCCCCCCTAATATATTAGGAATTTTATCAGTTGCGGACCTGAAAGATAGAAATTTATCAATCCAGAACCTGAAAGATGAAATATATCGATATAGGACCTGAATGATGAAAACCTATGAATCTAGGACCTAACATTTCATGGGATTTGATTTATTTAATTTTTTATTAATTCCATTGCTTATATTTGATGAATTCTTCTGCACAAAAATTTATTAGTTTAATAAAAATAAATAATATTTAAATTTTTGAAAATAAAAAAATAATAAGATTTATGAAAACTTAGGCCCTGATAACAACAAAGGGGGAGAATCAGTATCCATATGTAACGTGATCCTGCTCCTCTTTGATCCTAGAATACGTCAAGAACTGAACCTTTAGTTACGAAAGCTCAGAACGTTAGGTTAGATAAATCATACTGTGAGAAATTCTTAAAAATTAAAGACTATTAGACAAACCTGAAATCATTTAGAATAAGTTCCGGATATAAAAATTTGGAACTACAAGTGCAAGGAAAGCTACAATAAAGCTCTGCCCAAAAGATTATCCAAGTGAGAAAGAGAAGAAGCAAATAAAAACATATCATATTGTGATGCATAGCTCACGTTTACCCAATTTGTATTCCTAAGTTGGCTTAATTAGCACACCAGGTTTATTTACGTTATTCTATTCCACCAGAGTGGTAGTTAACATCATTAATTTTGTATTAGTTTATGATTGTATTCATCACATATAATAGTCCTTATTTAATATCCCAAATAATGGTAACAGAGTATCAGACAGAGCCCTTTTGGTAAACCTTTTCTTCAACTTATCAACTTAGAGGGTGTTTGGATCTGATTCTCAAAACTGATTCAGCTCCTTCAGGGAGCAGAAGCAGAAGCTGGAGTGAAATTCTGTTTGGGTGAAATTCCAGAAGCACTTCTGATGCTCTAATTTACTCTCAGAATCAGTTTTTTAGAAGCTGGGGGTATCAGCTTAATTCTGATTCTGCTTCTACTTTGAAAAAGAAACAGAAGCAGAATCACTTTCAAACACCCCCTTACGTATACTCTGTATATGCCTAAAGTCTCTGGCAAATATGCTTCGTAAAACTAAAGAATACAATTTCTTGTGAAATACTCCTGTGCGCTGTCTTTTTTTAAAACTAATTCATACGGAGTATATGTGAATGAGTTTGTATACACACACGTGTGCAAACAAAAATGCCAAATCAAACACATGCCAATGATTTGGGCAAAGTTCATTCACTTAATTCTAAATCTATGTTCTCTTCATCCATGCCAATATTCATATGTATAACTACATTCAAGCACAAAATGCCACCATATAGTATATACTACTCCGTACCATTTTTGTGTTTGTTCTTTAAGTTCAAATTTAAGAACCGAAACCAGTAATTCATTATTTTCATAGAAATACTATATATAATCACCACAATCAATAAAAAAAAATATAAATTCGTAGAAATATTAAACTTCCATAAAAATGATAAAAATTTGAAAGAAAGTAATTGAAATTATAAAATATTGAGAAACAAACCTATGATAAGTGAAGAGGCGGCAGCTAGGGGATAGGAAGAAGAGGTGGTGGTGGTTGAAGGTGCAACGGAGACTCAACATTGGCGGCGGTGGCTTGATTTCTATACTGTGAGACGCGGTGGCGGCTACTTGTCTTCTACACTTGGAGATGCGACAGCGGCGGATTATTTCTCGGAGGGAAGCGGTGCGGCTTGTTTCTCGGAGGGAGGGAAGCGGTGCGGCTTGTTTCTCGGATTGGAAGGGGCGAGACCTAAGCTTAATGATGAGGATGTTGTTTGCTACAATCTGGAGTTAGGGATTTTGCAGACTTTAGAGTTTAGAGAGAGCTTTATTGGCTTGTTGCTGCGGGCGGTTACACGTTCCTCCGCTGTAAATAACCTTTAAACCGAAATAAATGATCTACAGTGTTGCCAATAACTGGTTTATTAAGTATCAAATGTTGCGGTTACTATTTGCCCGCAGCAAATATTGTAAATTTTATAACTTTTGATGCGGTTGTGTCATTCCCCGAGCAAATACTTAAACAAATTCATCAATTGTTGTGATCCCATCTTTGACCGCAACAAAATTTAAAGTAGTGCTAGCATCCAAAATTTGGAGAATCAAATGAGCCAAATTTTGAGTGATGTGAATCGGTTTGAGGTAAAAGATTCGTGTAGACTTCCTTCTCAAACGAAGTAAAATCCAAGACAACATGTTAATGTAATCATGTTGAGGAGTGGGACAACATTTTTACTGTTCATCCACGAGTATTGTTTGTTTAAGCGATTTTTTGATATGCCAAAACTAATTAAAAAATAAAATTATACTATGCTCCGTTCCATAGAAGTTGCAACAGTTTGACTTCCACGTTTGCCAACGCGCAACTTTAACTGTAATTATATTTATTTACGTATTAGTAAACATTAAAAAAAAGTTAATATATTGAAAATTTACATTAATACAAATTTATTAATATTTTATACATAATATTTTTACTATATATATTATTAGAAAATCGTAGTCAAAGTAAAGTGTGTGAATAGTGTAGAAATTCCAATGTTGCAACTTTTATGGAACGGGGGGAGTATGAAGAATGGGTCTTGTACAAGAATAATAAGGAAGATGACATGTGAGTGAATAAGAGTGTATTTCAGTGTGTTGTTAGAATGTGAAGCTCTGGATTACAATGGGGGATATCCTATTTATAGGAAGGGTAATTAATGGTCAGTTATCCGTTATAGACGATTTGGCGGTTCCGACCCGACGATTTCCCAACTCGTCATTAATGCTGATCAGTTCAAATTGAGTAACCTCCAGCTTTAATTACGTTACTAATTACGATAATAAATACAAATTCGTTATAACAACCATCATTAAGCCTCATGAACGTATCATTAACTTATGCGGTCAACCATCTTTAATGCCAAATAAATCGTCAAATTCTTGCTCCAACATTCATCCGTGTTTGATCTCTGGAAGGGCGATGTTCACAGTGGGCCGAAATCACAATATACGAACTAAGTGGTGCAAATAGCAGTTTGATGTGACTAAATGTGAGTATGTGAGGGTCCACGCAGAAGTACGACTCAATGTACCTGGAGTGGGTCCCACATTCAGTTCAATCCATCTCACATCGTTGAATTTGGAGAGCGCAGATGGACCCAACTATCTACGCCTGAGATCTCACCCCCTTCATCTCCAAGTCGCTATCCACCATAGCTATTTATTAGCTTCTTCATACAAATGTCCCAGCTTCTCATTGTCCGTACACTGCCAGAGCCACTCTTTCATGCTGGAAAAACTATTGAAATTCCCGATCAAAAAAAATTCTGAAACCGTCAACTCTCAGGAGCGCTAATGCATCCCATTCGGTCCAAGTGTGTGTAAAAGATAGGAACTTTGAGATACTGTGAGGTTAGGGCTTTAAAACCTTTCATTTTTTTGGGTGGTGATGAGTGTAGCAGTCAACATAAGAAACTAACCAGTGGGGTGGGTTTATCAGGCTTGAGAGGAATCAGAGGATAGCTAGATTTCTTCAGACGCTTGGAATCAATCTAATTCATGTAAGAATACATTAAGTCGTCAGAATGCTCAGTCGTAAACAGGCAAACACACCCAGATCGACGGCCTCACCTGGTTAGATGTGTGTAAAGCGTCCTACACTCTTAAAAGTTTTCTTCTACATTCTATAAAAGAAAGGCTTTTAGAAATGGTTATAGTTTCCGAAAGTGTTGTGAAGTGATGAGGTGGTTGTATTGTACGGGTTAAATTGTTTCATCCTTTGCCTCTATGGTGATTTGGTTTTGATTTGAATTGGTGATATGATTCTTGTCTCAGAAGATTAGATTTCTAAAATATGTTTCTGAAATCCGTATTTGTTTCTTAACAACTTCTAATGGGATTGTTACAATTTAATGGCGGGATGATTCATTGTTGAGTAGTGATTAGTCAATTTGCTTGTAAACCACTACCTAAATGAGCAAAATCTACAAGTTGATCAAGGGTTAAATTTGACATCATTTGGTATCTGTCTATACATGACTCCCTTCCTGGAGTGAATTTGGCCTGACAGTTCTTTACTGCTTCATCTAAAAATATTTGTACTGTAGAAATTAGAGCAAATTATGTTCTTAAAAAAGGAGACATTTATGTTCCAAGGGTTGTGATATATGAGGCGGCTAAATTTATTCCTTTGGGATTTGAGGGTAAATTCTTCCTGTATTAGTTAAAGTTTAGTCATTGAAAACTAAATTTTTACTAAATTATTAAGAGAAACAAACCATTGTGTTTTTCCATGCTTTGAATTGAACTTTTGTTTGAAGAACTCATAAATATGGGTGTGTCTATCCCTAGACGCACATACGTCTGTTGGTGCCTGCATGGTCAGGTATGTACATGTGTGTATGTATGTTGGCGAGCTACTAGGCGCAGTTCATGACTTTATGATTGAGTTACTGTAGACTTAAAGTTTAGGGTGAATACACACATCAAACGAGGTGAGGCCATCGACCTGGGTGTGTGTTTACCTATGATTTCAATCCATTTTGTACCCTCAGTGTCTGAGGAAATCTAGCTAACCTCTCTGGCCTTTTAAGTCCACCCGGCTGGTTATTTCTTATGCTGAATGCTACACCCCTCACCACCCAAAAATGACTTTAAGGTCTTTTATTTTGGAAAATTTCAATTTCTTGTTGTGTCCATGCAACTTAGAATCTGAATGAGTAGATATTAGAATCTGTATGTGTTTCTTGTATTGGGTTGGATCCAATACGAGTTTGACTATTTCTTGTATTTCGTTGACACTTTTTTCCACCCAAGGCTCTAAAAGTGATGTTATTGAGCAAAACTGTAGTTTTTTGTGGTGTGAGATTGAACCATTACATAATGAAAATGTCTTGTCCCTGCTTTTATTAGTTTCGGAATATGTTAAAAATTATATTTCGCAATAAAACTATTAGTCAGTGATAGATTTTCTTTTGGTTTCTTTCACAAGGACCTAGCTGTGACCTGTGAGTAGTGAGCTGCATTAGTAATCCTGCAATGGCTTATAATAATACTAATAATTCTTCAAAAGTAGAGCCAAAGCGTTCCCATCAATGGTTCATGGATGGTATTGAGCCAGAGTTACATCCCAACAAGAAACAAGATGTTGATACAACAAACAATCAATCATTCACTGCACTTCTAAATTCAAATATCTTACCCTGGATGAATGTTTCCTATTTGCAATCCCTACCACAGCAGTGCTCTGAGAGCCTTTTAGATGGTGGTGAGATCAGAGAACCCATCAACTATGATGACAAAAATGTTATGCCAATTGGCTTTGGCACCAAGAGCATGCCTACAATGTCTATGGAGGGTTCCTATGGATACGATTCTTCAATTGGTTTATCGATAGTGGCTGAGAGGATGGAGCACCCTAGTTTGAGCATAAACTATGGAGGGATTGGAAAAGCTAAAGATAAACTCATGCCTGTGACAATGGGTGATAACTTTTCCATGGGAGTTGACAGCATTGTGTCACCAGCTGGTGCCATGGCATCATCCATGGGACTCTCTTTCAAAAGATCTTCTGCCAATATGATGTCATTGGGAGACACATATCATACAGAAGATAGTAATTTTCTATCTGCACGTCAGCATCTTATTGGCAATAATAAAATAAACACTGGTGAATTGATAGGTAGCTTCAAGGAGAAGGATTATTATATGTCAAATAATCAATCTTTTTTCAATAAAGACAATTTCAGTATTGCAGCGCTCGGTCAAACCTTCAACAGAGATGATAGTAACATCACATCAATGAGTTTCAATAAGACACCTAACTGCTTCACAACAACTGCGAAAGTTGATAACAATAATATTCTAATGAGTCGCACTTTCCGCAGAGGGGAAGGCCACAATATCATATCATTTGGTGGGTTTGACAAAGATGATGATGTAGCTAAGGTGTCTGGAAGGCCCTTATCTAGCTATGACTTGTTGATGGTTCAGTCTTTGGGGGAAATATCAGAAAACTCAAGTGAAAAGGGGTTGGGTCAATCTAATGTAGATACACTTGAAGACACTTCTCCAACTGCTGCTTTAATAGGTGTGGCTGATTCTAAGAAGGATGAGCAAAAGGCAAATAAAAAGTCTTCTTCAAACAGTTTCCCTTCAAATGTTAGGAGCTTACTGTTAACTGGTATATTTGATGGAGTTCCGGTTAAGTACATTGCATGGTCACGGGAGGTACATTTTACTTTTCATTATTATTTCCAATTTATATATCATCAATTGACAGCTTTTGCACTACATGTTAGAAGGAGCTTCGTGGTGTTATAAAGGACACAGGCTATCTCTGTGGCTGTCAGTCATGTAACTTCTCCAAGGTTGCTCAACTACCAAATTTTTCATATCGGGATTCTTATGCGTGCTTTGATTTTTTTGATATTCTCCAACTCTTCATGATGTAGACAATTAATGCATATGAGTTTGAGCGTCATGCTGGCTGTAAAACAAAACACCCAAATAATCACATTTACTTTGAGAATGGGAAAACAGTTTATGGGATTGTACAAGAGCTCAGGAATACACGGCAGGATTTGCTGTTTGAGGTTATTCAGACAATCTCTGGTTCCCCTGTTAACCAAAAGTCTTTTCATATCTGGAAAGGTTCGTTAGTAACTTGTATATTTTGTTATTAATCTAAATCCTTTTTGTGCTATATTATATGCTTTGTGTCATTCAAGAAGCTCATTATTTCCTCTTTCCTTAGAATCATTCCTTGCTGCTACACAAAAACTTCAGACGATACACGCAAAAGGTGAATGACGAAACATCATATTGAAATAGTAGCAATCGAAATGAAAAGGTATGTTAAGCTACCAAATCTTCCTTCATTTCTGTTGCAAATAAAGTGTGTAATAAACATTACATAACTTGAGGGATGGATAATCCAGCCTTCAAGGTTGCTCCCTGCACAATTGTAAGTCGTAACCAAGGTTTTAAATTTGCTGAAACTTGCTGAAACTGTGGTTATATCCTATATTGATTGAATTTACTTAATTATCCAGTAATGTAAAGAGTTTAACTTAAATAATACTGTAGTTAAAGAAAACAATATCAGTGCAGTTTTTATTCAGCAGCTTCTTAAAACATGGAGTGGGCTGTTTCAGTGTCTCTCATATCTGACTGAGCTGCTGGTTTTCATGCTCTTGCAGCGTGGAGAACAGCAATAAATTTGACACGTTTTTAACAAGCCGTTTATTTTAATTATTGACTATATACCCGTAGTATTTTTTCCCCTTTTTTCTTTTTTCTTTTGTTGTTGTTGACTTTATATCCCTTTGCTATTTCCATGAACTTTACAGGACATTTTGCAAGTGATATTCTGGGGCAACATGGTGCAGAAATGAGCATGTTCCATGCAATTTTTTGCTAACTAATGTAAAGAAAATATATTTCTTTTTTTTATGGTTTTAATTATTTTTTTATACTAAACCGTGAAAAGCATTTATGCTTTTCCTTTTTTAAGCTGGTTATTATTTGAATATGTAAATTTCGTCCTTGATAACAAATGGATGTAAATTTTGAGACTTGAGTTATGATTTTGTACATAGCTTCATCATGCATGTGTATCTTTATTTGGATGCTGCTTTCATTTTGCAAGGATTTTTAAGAATAATCTTAAAAAGACATATTTTCCAAACTAAAACTTTGTATGGCCCGGCGGAAGGTTGTTGATCCTAATACCACATTACCACCATTGAGCTTACAATAATTACACTATTTGGCTTTCCAATACACGGAGTATTATTTAGTTGTATTTCTGATTGATTTTCAGTTTTATAAGTTTTATGACTAAAAGTTATACAATGGATTAAAAAGTAAGCAAGTAAGTACTATTTCCGTCCTAAATTGATTTGCAAATTTGATTTTTGTTTGTAAAACAGTTTCATTTTATTCGTTTAATTACGATGTCAATTTTTAATTATATTCCAATTTGGAGTTTGCAACTTTGAAGAGATTCCAATGTAGTTTCTGAATATGTAAATTTTAATTATTTAAAATTGAATTAATTATTGATAGAGAGGATTGACTTTTATTTATGGTTTACCAAAAAATGTTGACTTTGCAAAACAATTTGAAACGAAAAGAGTATGTATTATAGGTGTACCAAGTTATAAATTACAAATAACAAACATGAAACAAAAAACTGTACAATAAAGAAAAATTTGATGATACTCATGCTAAGATATTTTATTAACAAAATAAATAAAACACTATGAAAAATAGTTAAAATAGTCTTCTACAATAATATTAATCAATTTAGTCAGTTTCATACTTATTTTGAAAATAAGAGTAACCAAAACGGAATCTTAATTTAATTTAACAAGTTAAAAGGATTCAGATAAAGCGTATTCAATGTATAGCTAGTCGTAAGGCACAACTCGCCATTGAATTTAATAACTATTCTTGCTATTTGGCCATTTAAGAGTATGAAATAAAAACTAAAAAATTGTACAGCCATAGTTCATGTATAAACAACATCAACAACATCCAAACCTTAATCCCAAAAGAATTTGGGGTCGGCTAACATGAATCGATCTATGATATCGATGCCAAAAAGAGAAGGCGAACAAGAAAAGGGAAAAAAGTAAGATAAAATGAATAAAATAAAGATACATAAATATAAGATAACAATAACACAAGAATATAACCAGGATAAAAGAAAAATAAATAAAAGAGCATAAAAAAGCTAGAAGATAAAAATAACATAAGAATATAAAAAGATAAGGAAGATAAACGATAAAAGAAACAAGAGAGGAAAGGTAGACAAGACATCAATCGTCCACATGGATGTGCGCCCTCCACTTTGCTCTCTCCAAAGCCATACTCTCATCCAAACAAATAAGACGCATATCAGTTCTGATTACTCTAATCCAAGTATGTTTGGGTCTTCCCCTCCCTCTCTTCTCTGACTCTACTCCCCACCTCTCAAGTCATCTAACAGGTGCATCACTCGGTCTTCTATGCACATGCCCAAACCACCGCAAACGAGACTCATGCATCTTATCTTCTATAGATGCTACTCCCACCTTTTGTCTGATTATCTCATTCCTCAGGCGGTCTTTTCTGGTATGTCCACACATCCAACGCAACATACGCATCTCTGTCACACTCATCTTTTGAATGTGGCATTGCTTCACCGCTCAACACTCTACACCATACATTAATGCCGGTCTAATTGCTGTACGATAAAATTTACCTTTCAGTTTAGTCGGCATACCTCGATCGCATAGAAATCCTGAAGCACTTTTCCATTTCATCCACTCAGCTCTGATTCTATGACATACATCTCCATCCAATTCACCATCCTTCTGAATTATGGATCCCAAGTAACGGAACATCTCACACACCGGTATCTCCTTACCATCAAGAGTAATCCCACTGTTGCTACTGCTTCTACCTCCACCGAACTTGCACTCCATATACTCAGTCTTGCTTTGGCTTAGTTTGAAACTCTTGCTCTCCAATGTTTGTCGACATACTTCCAACTTTGCTTTAACACCGGATTGTGTCTCATCAATCAATACAATATCGTCAGCAAACATCATGCACCACGGTATATCTTCTTGAATTGACTTCGTAAGTTCATCCATGACTAAAGCAAATAAGAAATGACTCAGAGCAGATCCTTGTTGCACTCCAATAGTAATAGGGAACTCTGCGGTCCTCCCTGCACTAGTGTGGACACTTGTAATACAAGCATCATACATATCCATGATGATGCTGATATACTTACGTGATATGCCTTTTCTAGTTAAGGCCCACCAAAGAACTTCTCGAGGTACCCTATCATATGCCTTTTCTAAGTCAATGAACACCAAATGCAGATCCTTTTTAGTGTCTCTATACTTCTCCGCAACTTGTCTAAGAAGGTGAATGGCCTCAGTTGTTGAGCGTCCAGGCATAAAACCAAATTGATTCTCCGAAATTTTCACACTCTTACGTAGTCTTTGCTCAACCACTCGCTCCCAATGTTTCATGGTGTGACTCATAAGCTTAATCCCTCGATAGTTAGCACATTCTTGTACATCACCCTTATTTTTAAATAAGGGAATGAGAGTACTCTTCTGCCAACTCACTGGCATTATGTTGTTTCTTCAAATCATGTTGAAGAAACGTGTTAGCCACTCGATGCCTTTCTCTCCCAAACTTCTCCAAGCCTCGATTGGTATGCCATCTGGGCTCACTGCTTTCTTCCGGCCCATTTTTCTCATAGCCTCTTTAACTTATGTTGTTTGAATCCTTCTCACGAAGTCCCTATTTACCATACACTCTGGTACAGTAAGATCATCAATACCTTGGACTTTATTCCCGTTGAACAAGATATCAAAGTATGACCTCTACCTCTCTTTTATTTCTTCATCGTCCATTAGTACCCTTTGATCGACATCCTTCACACACTTGACTTTTCCGATATCTTGAGTCCTACGGTCACGAAGGCGAGCAAGTCTGTAGATATCTTTTTCTCCTTCCTTAGAATCCAACTTTACATACTGTTGGGATATTGACCTAGAGGCCCAATACCCAGATCGGGAAGGCCCAAGATATCCGGCCCAAGCAACGGGCCCATCACTCTATGATGAATAGATCCAGTAAGAAGACATACCGAACGGAGTTCGGCCCAAACAAAGGTTGGCCCAGTAAGAAGACATATTGAACGGAGTTCGGACTATATATCATACTTGGGCCAATTTGACAGCATCTTCAGTACAGCCCAACATCTCGTTCGAGCAACGGCCAACCAACAAGTGGCCAGGTGCAATTAATGTCAGACTGAGACATCAGCCAGTGGAAGCATGGATGACCAAGTCGGTGGAACAACGGCCAATCAGCATGGGGCAGCCCATGCTCTCCATTAGTATAAATAGAAGGTTTCAAGTCATTGTAAGGGTTAGCATTTCAATACTCAGGCTCTAGAATAACATCATTGCTCTTATTTCTTGTATTAAAGCATAGTTTCCGACCTACCGATCGGGAAATTCCTTGTAATCAGATTGGTTAATTAATACAAGTGAGCTTTCGAGTATTAGTTAGTTCAGATCTTATATTTTTTACACGCCTTGATTCTGTGCCATTCCTGATATATCCAAAGTTCGTGTTGGGCTTTCGGATCTACGGGATTTACTCTCAACATTGGCGCCGTCTGTGGGAAACTTGTAAAAAGTTTCACTTTCAAATCATCCAAAAAACCTCTATTTTTCAAAAATGGTCAGAATCAGTTCCTATCATACAAGCGACGGTTCACGCCGTCACGGGAGGAGTCACACCCCGGGGAGTCAAAACCCTCAGGGACAATCCAGTCGAGGATCGTATCCTCGTTTCGATGGGGATTTTGTGATTCCTGAATCTCTGAGAAGAAATCCTCAGGCCATGCGTGACATGGCCCAGGTCATGCAGCATATGGCGAACGAAGAGGAAGGAGGTTCCAGCTTCACAGGGGAGACTCCACGCACGGAAACAACCACGGCGTCATCCTGTTCACATGTCCATCGGGATAATCGACGTAGCGCCCCACCAACAGCGCACCACAGTCCTAGTGACCGAACCCCGGTCGGATCACAAGCTAGAGGACCAACTCCCGTTGGTCATCATTTCCAGTATGCCGAGCGGGAAAATACTAGGGCCCCTCAGCGGCATTGGGACCGGGACTGTACGGATATGAGGGCTCCACCACCGCCCCCTTTGACGGCCCAGGAGGAAGAAATGGCCGAGATGAGGAGGCAAATGAATGAAATGCGAGACCAGATGAACAGGGCGCCTGTACAACCTGCCCCGGTTCAGCTGGGAATTACTTCCCCGTTTACTAGGGAACTCATGTACGCAGATATCCAAGGGGGTGCCAAACCCCCGACCGGCCAGATCTATGACGGGGTGGGAGATCCCCACGTACATCTGAGGAGTTACCAAGGGGGACTCATGCTGCTAGGAGCACCCGAGGCCGCCATTTGCCGTTTGTTTTTCAGCACGCTCAGGGGGCCTTCCCAGGAGTGGTTCGGGACACTGCAGCCCGGGTCAATCAACAGCTTTGCCGAGTTATCGGCGTTATTCTTGGCTCAGTTTGCTTCCAGTGCCAATCCCAAACGGCACTTCAGCTATTTGACCAGCGTGAAGCAAAACGCCAAAGAGACCCTCAATCAGTTCCTGAAAAGGTGGAGGGATGAAACTTTAACGGTGGGAAACATGACGGATGATACCGCCATTACCCTATTCACAAATGCTCTCCGAACGGGGGAGTTGTACAAAGAATTGAAGAAAAATCCGGGTACGGTGTACGCCGAGGTATTAGATAGGGCTCGCAAGCATGCCGCCCTAGAAGAGGAGATAATGATCAGGGATAAGGTCATTGCGCCTGCTGCCCCGATCAGAATGGCCGATCGGCTGGGTCCTAGCCCAGCGGCCGCTTTACCTCCCAAACAAGGGAGATTTACACCCTTGGTCCTATCAGTAGCGACCATCTTTCAGCACGAGAGGGACAATATTCCCCTCCTGACTGATTCTGGACAGTTCATGGGAGCGGATGATAATGCTTTCTGTAAATATCACAACAGAAAGGGTCATGCCA